TCCCGACAGAGAAGTTGCCATAGGCTATGACTTAGAGGTATAAAGAACATTAACAGGTTTCTGGACATTGAACATAGTTAGAGTTAAAGCAGTGGTAGGAAATAAGACTTAAATAGTAGGTTGTGATGCAAAGATAGTGCCTTTCATGCTAATCCAATGTTTGAATGTCATTGAAGTAATCAGATTTGTGTCTTCTAAAGAAAAACGTCACCAGCGTAAAGAATAGATGCCTGATTGGAGTGCAGGGAGAGACTAGAAGTGAGAATGCCATGGAAGAGATGAAAAGGCAGCAGCAGGAGAAGGGAACAGGGTGAAATACTAAAGACATATTTAGTTGGTAGAATATAACGTTCTTGACTTTGAGGGAAAGGGAGGAAGTTCATGACTGGTAGTTTTAGAAAGAAAGATAATAATGAATTGCATTTTCTGGAAGATTATCTTATTTGAAAATTATCTTCCAGCTAATTTTTCAAGGCTGTTCAGCTTGAAGAAAAAGCTTTAAAAACCAAAGTATGTAATTAGCTTTTGCCCCCTTGCCTGAAGACAAAAATGCAAGTGTGAACCAGAAAGATGGCCAACCTTAAAGCAAGAATATGTATTCTTAGGTCTATGCTTTGAATTATTTGGGAAAGGGAAGTTTTTATTGCAAGCATGGAGACATGATTGAGAACGTGTAAACTTTCTAGTAAGCTTCTTGGACCTCTTTCCATTGGGTGACATTTCCTTCATTAAGTCATTCGGTAAACATCCATTGAAGATTATAGTTGTCTCACGTCATGAAAGGTACTACGGACACCAAGTCAAATAAAATGCAGTCCCTACGCTAAGGCTATTTACCAAGTATTGGAAGAAACAGACCAGTAAACCAACAGTTAGAGCACATTATAGGGGCATAGAGAGGATACATATCTAAGTCAGACTGGGTGTTCAAGAGGACTTTCTTAAGGGAGCTATGTTTGAACAAGATTTTCAAAGGAAAGAGAGCCAACTGAAGAAGTGGAGAATGGTGTTTCATGCAGAGAGAACAGCTTGTGTGAAGAATTAGCAGTCTGAAGGGCCATGGTGGGTTAAGGACCTATAGGGAGCTGTGTATAATTAGAGCCCCGATTATAAGGGAAAGAGAAATTGGAAGGTGATAAGGCTAAAGAAACAGTCTGTGAACAGAGCATCAAGGGCCTATTGTGCTAAGCAAAGATGTACCTTATCCTAAAAAACATTATTACTTTAACATTTTATTGCTAGAAATGGGGGAGATAGATCAGAAGAGTCAAGATAGAGGCACGTAGACCATTGAACAATTTCCTGATTGCTCGGGTTGAGATTAGTAGCCTGGAATATCAGAAATGTTAGAAATTGAGAGCAACTATAAATGTAGAGTCTAAAACAGTTGGTACCTCCATGTGTGTATATAAGGAGAGGTAGCAAGGAGGAGAAGGGACAGGAGAGCAGGTGAAAGGAAGAAGTTTAGGATTTGCCACAGGTATCTAGCGTGGATGACAGCAGAGACAGTATTACCATTCAATGAGACGGAAATTAGGAAAACAAGAAAGTTCGGGGCGGGAAATGCAGATTTCACTTTTTGAGCACATTATTTTTTAGGTACCTGTGAGAGACAGCCAAGTCAAACTATCTAGGAGGACATTGAATATATAGATCTTAGACTCTTGAGAGAGGTCTGGGTAAGAAATAAAGATGTGGGAGCCATCTTACATAGGTAGTGGCCTGAAGTATTAGGTTTAATAAGGTTATATGGGTAAGTATAGAGTGAGACATCAAGAAGGCCATATCACCAGGAAGAAAAAAAAGAAAAAGAAAAAAAGAGCCATGGAGATGAGTAAGAGCAGAGGGGGGGAAAATGGAAAGAGTGATTTCACAGAAGCCAAAGCAAGTATCGGCACTGTGCAATGTTGTCAAGAAAATAACAAAGATAACTGAAAAGTTTCTTTTAGATTCGGCAGCATGGAGCACCTTTGCGCTAATATAGAGGATAGCTGTTGTTTTTGCTGCCCTACATACCTTCCTCCTTTTGCTTACAAGACTCCCATTGTCTTTTAAAGAACTGTCTCCCATTGCATGAAGCCATGGCGAGAGGCTCAGTCTAGACACCCTGCCTTCCCTGGCCAGGGGTGGACATGTGACCTAGTCTAAGACCCACAGACTTGTATCTTCTTGGAATTTGAAATTTGAGTGGATTGTTTGGTAAAATAGCTGTGTTGGAAAAACTTTTATGGTTCTCTCTTTATGATTTATCAATGTGAGGAAATAATGCAAGTATAAATATATTTGTATCCTGGTTATATCTCAAAAATAAGGTCAAGGAAGATGCTTGATTATAAAGTCTGCTCTAACAAATGAAGTTAGCATGTTGGTGTTTTCTTAGCCTGCATGAATCTCACTATGTGGTTAACACATTATGAGTTAACCAGAGGACGTGTTTTGTATTTCAAGCGGTATATATCCAGAAACATTTTGATGAGTTGCACCCAGATCCATGAAAGCAAAAAAATCAGATTAATTGCATAATTGAGAAAATGTATCAGATCTTTTCCTAATGGCAGACCGTAAAAATGTCAAACTTGTTTATAAAAAGTCAATTCTCAAATTATGTTTGCAAAGAATAGTATAGCATAGTGGCTAAGAGTCCAGGGTCTGGAGCCACAGCACCAAGGTCCAACTCATGTATTTCCTATGTAATATAGATGTAAACTCTGAGGGAATTACTTAGCACCTCTGGGTCTTTGTTTCCTCATCTATAAAAGGGAGATGGTAATTGTACTTATCTTAGGGGGCTGTTGAAAGCATTGAATGAATTATTAAATGTCAAACCCTTAAAACAGTAGTTAACACATAGTCTACGTCACTTGTTGTTGTTATTATTATTATTGCCAACATGGTAGGAGCAAGATCAGTATTTGATATGTAAAGAGCTGTCGTAAAGTAGAAGTTAGAGCTCTGCCAAAGTCATCGCTTTCAGTTCACATGAGCTTCATTGAACTTGGGACAAATCATCTGAATTGAGGTGGATGTGGTGTGGGACAGTTCCCACACCCAGGTTTCGTTCTGAGTGTTAAATGTGTGCAAATATGAAAATTCAAGGTGAGACTTAGAGCAAAACTGCCAAGTTTGAGACTACTCATTTCAAAACTAATTAGTATATTCAATTTTGGGGCAAACCCTGTTAACCAGTTTTGCTGTTTTTTGGCAAAATTTACAACAAAGTTTTTTTTCTTTACTTCTTTCATTTTGGATCTTAGTCCATGACATATTTTCATCTTTGGTCCGTACATGGCCTGTTTTTCAGTTGTTTAGTTATTTTGAGATAATGTGGTAAGGGTCTGTGAATCCACAACCCAAAACAAAGTTAAGATTTTGACAGTAATCTGTGTGGAATTACGTGGTTCCCCACATCACCACTCCATTCCCTCCTCCTGGCCCTCCTTATTTGAATTCTATGGCCATCCTTTGTTTGCTTTTCAAGTGTTCTTTTTTTAATTTTAGTTGTTGCTAAGAGAGGACATAATGTTTTATGTAATGTCTGGGGATATACTTTTCCACTTGATAAATCGTGAATTATATCAGTATAGAAAATGACCTAATGTTTCCTTGTTTCTGAATCTCGTCTTGGAACTTTTTCCAGATTAACATCCAATAACTGCAGAATCCCTTGCTGTTCGTAACTGAAGGGCTTCTTATAAGATAGAGGTTAAATGTTACATTTTTCTGGCCCATCGAACAAACTTACTGGGTTAACCAAAAACTTAGATTGAATGCTGATTTCTTTAAACATGTCCAAATTAGGAAAACAATTTTCTGATGCCATTTTTCATTTCTTCAACAGCCTGCATCGGTTATTAAATAGGTCACCTGAATTGTGCACTGGATTTTTAACTTTCATCTCTTGCTTTCTTCCTTTATTTTAGTGTGCGCCCTTATAAATGACAATGCATTGTATTTCACACAGTGGGACTATCCTTTACAAATGAAAGGAGAATAAATCATTTTGCAGTGCATGCTCGACAAGTAGAAGTATCCTAAGATATGAAACCTTTGGGTTTCCAAACAGAACTAGCACAAATACAATTGGTGAAAGCAACAATAATCATGAAGTAGTAAGTTATAGTCTTTCCTATGAACATTAGTTTTAGTCAACTCATCTCATCTGTCTCAGATGTTACTCTATCCTTAATTAAACATCTTTTGACAACATTTTTATTCAAAAACAACTTTTATAAGTTCTTTGTCTGCACAACGAAAGTTAATATCTAATGTCAATATCTATGAGCTAATATATTAGCCCATAGCAACTTAGACAAATGGGATGGAGAGGGAGCAGCTTTGAAGAGTTTATGTCAAATGAATTAGAGCAGTAGTTTAGTGAGCAAATATGCCAATTTGGAAATGGATTCTTCTATCCTGCTGAAGAGCTCTTTTTAAAATAAATTACAGTCATAAAGCTGCCACAGTTTACTGTGCACAGACATGTTCAGAATTGGACCTCTTTCACGAAGGCTGCTCAGTGCAGGTATTTAACTACTGCCAGTGGGGCTCACAGCTCACTCTCAGCTCATCAAATAGAAAATCTGCCACAGGAAAATACATGGGTTAAAAAAAAGCTGGATAATATTGTGGTGTTAATTCTGTGTGTCTATTTAAGCTTTCCTCTAAAACAAGTTGACTGACTTAAATTGTTTTAGAAAATAAACTCCCAAAACCTTGAGAATAGTGCAGTCTTGAAGTAGTATTGATTTTAATCAATGTTAAAAACACTTTCAGAGGAATAAGATGAGAAACAAGATGAACATGTTTGCCACCAATCGTGGCAACAGTTTGTGTCATTGATCTGAGAGAGACCAGGATAAAAACAAATCCTGTGTTTGTGTGTGTGTGTGTGTGTAAAATTAGACAGTGCATTTTAACACTAGAGGTTATTTTTTATACTTGCTTTATTCAAGTATACTAGCTTGTATTTGTAAAACACATATAGACATGGCAAATCCAGCTGTGTATCTTCTAAAATGTTGAAGAAATTATCAGATTGCATTTTTTGTATGGTTTTACGTAGTACCTCCTATGGAAGATTGTAAGGAACAAGAGCCTATTATGGACAACAATATTTCTTTGGTGCCTTTTGAGAGACCTGCTGTCATAGAGAAGTTCACGGGGAATATGGGAAAACGTAAAAGCTCCACTCCACAAAAGTTTGTGGGTAAGTATTACAAATTCTGTTATTTCTTTAAAAGGTGATTTTAATGGGCAAAGCCATGTTCCCACGCATTAGAAATATATATGGTGTATTTCAGTTCATGAAATAAATACCCAACTCTTTTCTCCATTATTATTTTCTCCTTTATGCCACTCCACGTGTTCCACACTCTCACACAACACACACTCACACACACATGCACACACACTCACACACACCCATAGGCATATGGGCCTAAGAAAGAGAAACAAGGGAAAGACTTGGGATAGAAGCTGCTATCTCAGGATGAAATGATATAGAAAATGAAATAGCCTGTAAAAATAAAATGCTAATTTATTTAAGTAATAATCCTTAAGGGAAATGGTATAGCCTATAAGCCAGTTTTTTAATCTGTTTTTAAATCTGCATTAGTACCAGGTTTTTAAACTGTTTTCTTTACATGATATTAATGCTTTTACTCTTTGATCTAGAATGAAGAGAAGTCTTTTTTAATCAAAATTCTGCATTAGAAAAATAATGCAGCAACGTACATTCATGATGTTTCATATTTGGATCTGCATTGTTTTCATTATTTTTCTTCTAATTTTTTAAAACAATGTATGAAAAATAGAGATTCTACATAAAGAATTGTCATTAATTATATATGTAATATATCTATTCTTATAGACTTTATGTAGGGTAAAAATTAGAAGAGATGAAAATATTCAAACAGCTTCTCACATTCTAGTGTCACAGAGCATGTGGAACCTCCTCATGTGAATGACCAGGAGAAAACTCTTCTCTTTGGTTATTTCAGGGAGGAAAGAGTAATAACATCCTATTGCTCCAATAAACACTTAGAGAAGATTTCCTTTCAATCTGAAATTGAAGAACTAACAAGTCACCAAAGCATCACTTTCAAACAAGCTGGGGAGATTTATTGACAGAGCTCATTTAAAGAAAAGGCTAAAGAGTAACCCTAAGGGATCACAGTTTGCAGTGTGAATACATATAGGTCAGTTTAAAGCCCCGAGAGTATGTTCTAAAGCCTGCCTTGGGCCCTAGGTAACTTTTCCTTCTTCCTTTTGATAAATAACTATTTTTCAAAATGCCGTTTCATCTATTTTTCAAATTTGATGGATGTCCATTAAATGCTTCTATCTCAACTAGACACTAGTTTAGATGGGAAAATATGAAATTTATTATTATTCTTTTTGTCTTCTGAATTTATTTCGTTCTGCTCTTTGGAACATTTTCATGTTTTCTATGACTTAGAGTTGCTACTCTCAATTTGATTTGACTACATTCCTTTAGAAAAGAGGGACAGATTTTGTTAAATTACATTTTGATTTTAAAATAATAACATTAGGATTTTTATTAGGAATAAATGATGGTATTTTTTGATGATATTTCTTCTTTTTTTGTGTTCTATCCTAATAGTGATATATAACAATTTCACAGTAACTGTCTCTGTGATATCTTTTGAAACAAACAATTTCATCATTCCACACACCATAAATTCCTTATCATGTCCCTCAGTGAAATACTCCTCTTTGACCTGATCATGCCCTCCAGGCCAATGATCTCTGAACTTTCTGCACATCTTTTTGCCTCTTCCTCTCTTTTCTTGTCTAGTTCAGATTCCATGGTTCATCACTTTTACCCCTCTCTTGCCAATATTCTTGACTCTCCTGCTTTGTTGTCCTATCACCTCCTAGTGAAACCGCACTGTCTAGTGAAACCAACTGAGCATCTTTTCCATATCTACATAGCTGCTAGTACTTTTGGAGGAAATCTCACAGCCTTACAAATTGGTGTCACTATAAATAAATGAATATGTGATCTCAAGTATCAGTTGTCCCATCCATACTAAGTAGCAGCCCTCCTTTAATCCATCCCCAAATAGTCTTCTCTCCTAGTCGACTCTATGGCCATTTCAGCCTTTCTCTACTCTCTACAAACTTGGTACTTCACTCCTTAATGATGTTATATCTAGGTTTACAGAGAATAAAGTCAGTTAAGATAATTTCAATATCATATCACTAATCCTATAGGATTATGTACATCCACATGAACACTTTCTTCTTTTTTCCTTGTTTCAGTGAAAGAAGTATCCCTCTTTCAATTCTCCTATCCCAGCCCCCTGAATACCCTACACTGTTATTTTTCCTCTTTCTCAGTTATATTTCAACCTCCCCACTCTGTCGGCATTTTCCTTTCACCATTTAAGGTGATAAACTCTCATCATTAAAATAAATCTTCCCTCAAACTCAAGTCTCCTTTCAGTTACTACCTACTTTCTACTCATCTTGAAAGATGGAGTTGTTGAAAGAGTTCTCTATGCTCACTTTCCATAATTTCTTTCTGCTCGTTCCCCAGTCTGTGCATCTGGCTTTCTTCCCCATGCTCATCTGAAATTATTCTCATTGAGGTCACCACTAGCTTCCATAGTGCCAAATCCAGTGGACCCTTTTTAGACTATCTTACACAACTCCTAGAGAGCTTTTGCCACTATTGAATAATCAATTCCTTTTGAAACATTCTCTTCCCTTGGTTTCTATGACATTGATCTCTCTTGCATTTCTTCCAGTTTCTCTGACTACTCTGTCTCAGTCTTCTTTATGGATTTACCCCTAACAGCTAAGCAAACAGGGCAAAAGCCCTAATGGAGGCCTCCATTCATATGCCTCGATATTTTAATATTATAAACCAAGCTGAAAAACCATTATGTTCTACCTTTCTAGCTTGGAAGACTGAGTTCAAATAAATATAGAATTCTCAGGTTTCGTTGAATTCCACACCAGACCTTGGCAGCACAAGCAGGCCCACTCCCTGGCCTGGAGCCAGGCCCCTCTCTTAGTCCCACTCTTGGTTCTGTCCAATACCAAAAGGAGCCTCGTGCAAACCTGTTGGAGACTCCTCAGCCTGCACATCCAAGTTCTTTTCACATTGCCTTCCACACACAGCACATAAAGAGTAGTGTGTTGGCCATTCCTCAGGCCTAAGTGTGTGCATACCAGTAGCACAATTGGTACTCAGGAGGATGGACCTATGAAGAAGACTATACTGACTCTAGGTGCAAGCTCAGAGGCATTTGGCAAGAAATTCTGGAGTCCTGGGTATCCAGAGTATGATCTAGAAGTTAAAATCCCAATAGGCACATTCCCTTGGCCTTACACATTCCTCGTTCCATGACGAGCAAGGCCCAGGGCTCTCTAAACATGGGCCCCAGTACAGGATTCTCCCTTGCTGTGTCTGTAGGCAGGCATAAAAGTCTTGATGTTCTTCGAGGTTCTATTTTTGATCTTCTCTTCTTCATACTTTTCCTATGTCTGGGTGATATCATCTATTCTCATGGCTTCAGAAGTTACTTTCTATCAACTGATGACTCTCCTATCTGCATCTCAAGCCCAGAGCTCTCTCCTGAATTTGAGACTATATCTAAGTACTCACTGGACATAACTATTACTCATAGTCTTCCCCAAACTGAATTCATCATCTTTTCTATCTCATTGTCTTCCAATAAGTTTCCCAGGCTAGAAACCTGGGCTTCATGCTTAATTTCTTTCTTTTTCTCATTCTCTGTGTCTGCATAATTACCAAGGCCTAGCCACTATGTTTTCTAAACTTCATTTCATTCTATCGACTTTTCTACATATCCACTGCCTCTATACTAGTTCAGGCTACCGTGATCTCTTATAGCGACAACTTTCTAAACTGTCTTGCTAGATAAATATCTAGTCAAGTCACTCCCTGTTTGACCTCTTCAATCCTTATTGCCCTCAGGATAAAATTCAAATTCCTTAGCTGTCGAATGAGAACTGTATTATCTGACTCCTTCTTTTTCATGTATTTCCACTCTCAGCCATATTGCAGTATAAGTAATCCTTTGAACAAGTTATGCCCTCTTGACTCTGAGCCTTCTTACCGGCTGCTCCACCCCCACATTCCTGTACTTGGCTAATATTGGCCATTGAATTCTTATTTCTGATGCTGCTCCCTTCAAGAAGTCTTCTTTTACTCCACTAGTATGAGTTATGTATTCCTCTTCTTTGACCCCATAGCACGTATCACGCAGTATTATAAATGATCCCTAAATTGCTGTCATTCCCACTAAACTGGAAGCTCTTTGAGAATGTAGATTAGGTTTGTCTAGCTTAACTTTTAAACTCTTGACATTGCAATATCTTCAACTGGATACCATGAGATAATTTTTCATCATTTTTTTCCTTCCATTTTCATTACTCTCATCATTACCCTGATCTCACTCTGGGGACCTTTCTTCAAACCTGAAATAATACTAGCTACCTGAAAGTGCTTTTCCAGAATGCAGTTGTGTGGATCAACATTTCCTGTCAACATTACAGTTTAGGCATCCATCTACACAACATATTAAACATTTATAAGTCCACATATATCTTTAAGAAGAATTTATCTGTAAGATTTACCTATCAGAGTAACTAGATAATTTGTAAAAAACCTCATTGTTTTAGTGGCAGAATTTTGAAAAGATAAAATATTCTGTCCAAAGCTGGAAATCTTTGAAGGAGGAAAATTAAAATTACTTGTCCTGCTTTACCCACTCAACTCTTTTATAATGTTTAGATATTATGTTTAAGTAAATTAAATTTGTTAAAGTAAATATTAAAGGGAAAATTACAAACAGCTTTCAATCAAGAAAAGTTATGGAAAACTAACAATGGGTTTACATACCAGCACCATTGCACACATGTCTGAGTAAGAAAGGGGTGATGTGAAAATGAATAATTATCCATTTCAAGAAACAAAACGATGAAACATAATATTTTCCAAGTTTATAAGTGGGTGCTGTGGGAAATAACACTCCTATTTTTAAATAGCCCTAAATTTCATTCAGTTTATCAGACAGTACCACTTTTAACAGTATTTTTAACAGAGACTTTTTTGAATTCTTCAGAATGACAAAAATTAGTTCTATGATTTTTTTTTTCTAATATAGCAGCTAAATCAACCAAAGCAACCCTACACAACCATAGGTGACAGATGCTATAACCAGATCACTCTCGCTTTTGTGACCTTTGTGGCTTCATCACTGATGTTAAAATATGAAAAAACAAGCATGGTCTCTGACATATTTTCACCTGATATTACTTCTTTCTCTTATAGTCACTGAGCTCTAGTCAGGTGGAAATTTTAATAGAGAATGAAAATAAGATAACACACTCAATCGTGCCTTTCAGGCTAGATGCATGTTCATGATGACATTAGAACAGGTGCAAACAGCTTGTGAAATTTTTATTAGTAATCCCCTTTGCAGGTGAAGAGTATTTGTGAGTCTCAGGAGAATTAAAGAGCCCAAATATTTGATCTAAAGGATAAGATATACCATATTATGGAAAATAGAAGTGATTAATTAACTATGTACTTTTATATTTTTAATCCAGTCACTCATTTTGTCATATTCTTTTTTTTCTTATTACTTTTCTCCCCCTCTCCCTTTCAGGGGAAAAGCTCATGCGATTCAGCTACCCAGACATTCATTTTGATATGAACTTAACATATGAGAAGGAGGCTGAGCTGATGCAGTCTCACATGATGGACCAAGCCATCAACAATGCAATCACCTACCTTGGAGCTGAGGCCCTTCACCCTCTGATGCAGCACCCACCAAGCACAATCGCTGAGGTGGCCCCAGTTATAAGCTCAGCTTATTCTCAGGTCTATCATCCAAATAGGATAGAAAGACCTATTAGCAGGGAAACCTCCGACAGTCATGAAAACAACATGGATGGCCCTATCTCTCTCATCAGACCAAAGAGTCGACCCCAGGAAAGAGAGGCCTCTCCCAGCAATAGCTGCCTGGATTCTACTGACTCAGAAAGCAGCCATGATGACCACCAGTCCTACCAAGGAAACCCTGCCTTAAATCCCAAGAGGAAACAAAGCCCAGCTTACATGAAGGAGGATGTCAAGGCCCTGGACACCACCAAGGCTCCTAAGGGTTCTCTGAAGGACATCTACAAGGTCTTCAATGGAGAAGGAGAACAGATTAGGGCCTTCAAGTGTGAGCACTGCCGAGTCCTTTTCTTAGACCATGTCATGTACACCATTCACATGGGTTGCCATGGCTACCGGGACCCACTGGAATGCAACATCTGTGGCTACAGAAGCCAGGACCGTTACGAGTTTTCATCACACATTGTTCGAGGGGAGCACACATTCCACTAGGCCTTTTCATTCCAAAGGGGACCCCTATGAAGTAATGAACTGCACATGAAGAAATACTGCACTTACAATCCCACCTCCCCTCAGATGTTGACATACCTTTTTTTTAATATTATTACTATCATTAATTCTTATTTTGTGGACACAGTGTCATTTGCTCTGCCTAATTACAATAAGGAAGAAACAGAAGAGAGAAGGGACAGGGGATATTGTTTCTTGATAACATGGCTTGTTTATTTTGTGAGAATTTAAGAGCAGTTCATTTCTGCCATGCATAGATATAGGGCATATCATGCTTTGGAAAAAAATCGCTTGATTCATAACAATTTACCTAAGAGATTCTGATTTGCCACTGATGTTCAGGATTATGATTGAAGGCAGGAAAGCTTATTCTGGGTAGGACTTTCGCAGTTTAAAACAGTATAAGTAATTTTACTCTTCAAAGAAGAAATTGTTTCAAAACGTAAACTGTTTTTTTTCCTCTAGAGATCATGGAACACAAACACGTTATTTTCAGCTCCTTCGATGAGTTGTTGTGAGTTCTATGTTTACCTCCCCTATGGAATTTATAATACAGTATGTTATACACTGTACCTATAGCAAAACTTTTCAACTACAGGTAGTTAAGGACACCTACAATACATCTGAGGTCCTATGATCTTATTTTTCTAAACCTAAGCACTGTTTTTCCATAGTTTTGATGACTGGCATTTTATAGACACCCTGGCAGCCTTACTTTTAACACCTTTAACGAATAGTATTTTTATCTAGTTTTCAGAATAACATATGGTCTAAGAGTGGCAAAGAGGCAGACAATAGTTTCCAAAAGGGACCTCTGCTTTTCATAAATTTGTTCAAGAAGTTTTCTTTTAAAGTTGTAATATGATAACAGCATAGTATATGTATTTGTTTCTAAAAGTATGCTTACAATTGTCACTTTATCAGCATTTAATCAGTGTTAAGCAGTCAGCAGAAAAATATAATTAGGCTAGCAGTAGGGGGAAAATGCCCACTCAGAAATCCCATTTCTGGTATTTCTCTTTTCACTGGCTTTTTCAAGCTGTGACCACCCAGTGTTCTGTCCGTAGTCCATTCATCTTTTACTCTTCGAGTGGAAGGTCTTAAAAATCTTGCAATCAGCTAGCTGTTTCTTTCAAAATCTCCTCAGAGCAATTGCTAATTTGACCTGAATGTGCTAACTTGAACCCCATAAGGTTACGGAACTAGGGCTATTTATTCTCGTGTTTTTTCAATAATAATATTTACCGCTTTTGGTGCAAGGAAAAGGGAACTTCTTTGTAACCTGTGCATTGGACTGTACATAAAACGAAAAATGAAGCTCATTTTTACCCTTCTTGGAGTTTAGAATGTGTCCGAACCGCCAAGTGAAAGTGACCATCCCTGCAGACTTTCTGTCTTGAAAACGTTCAGCTATTTATAAGTCCTTGTCAGAAGTGAATCTCAATCCCTTAGTACAGAATTTCTCATCTTTTAATCTATACACGTGTTGCCGTACTTCCTGTGTAGGTTCTCATTTCATTTATCGGGTGCTCTCTGTTTTTTTGCATTCCATCAGCATTAGAGGGAGGAACAAATGAGACCGTTAGGTCATTTGGGGAGACACACTTGGAGGCAGAACTGGCTGCTTATATTTAGAGAGGACAGGCCTGACTGTGGCTGGATTATTTGATAACCATTTATGAATACTGAAATTCTGTTAAGCAGTAACTGATAACTGCTCTAAAAAAAAATCATTAAGTAGGATGCTAAAACTATGTTTCTTAATACAGAATGATGTGGGAATTAGCAAGACTAGTGAACTATGGACAGATAAGCAAATCTGGCACTAACACTGCTCTTCATTCATTTTCTAGTTTATCATCTGCTTATTTAAGCAACTTCTAAGCACTAACACAGCCAGAGCTGGGCAGAATGGTTACAAGTCAGCTCTCTTTTACTAGCCCCTGTTGTAATTATTTTTGGAGAAATATCCAAACTCTTCCTTTAAATCTAAGAGAATGCACCAAAACAGAGATGTGAAATGTTTTAAATAGAATGTCAACTGCCATTTTTTTCTGCATGCTTTCATACATTGGTACGTTGTGAATATACGGTTTATTCAAAGATAAAGCATGTCTTTGAGACTCCCTCACCCACCAACCCTAACCACTCACAAATAATTGGAATTTCATTTTTTTTTCTTTTGGGAGGAAGGTAAATAAAGTTAGTGATTTTGTGTTTTACTGAAATTTAAGGAAACATTTGGATGGCACTCAGTGTGTTCATAACTTTGGCTCTGTGTGAACTTCTGCTGGCATCATCCATGAATTTTCTTCCTGCTTCCTATTTTTTTTTTTACTGTATGAACAATCATGTACCTACCTGTCCTGGGATGAAACTGATTTTAGATGGACCAAAAGAGTTGTGTAGTACCCCTATGAAGACAGGAATAATGCACTCTTTTTTTTTTTCTGACTTCATCTTTTTGGGAATCTGTTTTATTGAAGGGGCTTAATATTTGTGAGAGTGTTTGCTACAAGTGTACACTTGTACTTCCTTAGCTTCATGATATGAGGAACAGAAGGAGGTAAAGATGGCTCAGGGTGTGGCAGGGACAGATGAGGACGAGGTCAATTCAAATGTGGAGGTTAGAGAGAATTTTTTTGGACACAGTGCTTTCTGGGAAACTCTGGATGGCTATATTTGCATGCCTCTTCTTCACAAAAGGTAATATGCAAAGTGGCGGCACCTAGAAATAAATATGAGGGTCAGACACCAAATAAATCAAGTTTTACATAACAATTACATGCCCGGTTTATTTAGGTGAGATTTCACATTACAGGGCATTTGAGGGGAATGAAAATGGGTTAGCCTCTGTATTTTCCAGTGTGGCAAAAATTCAGAAATTCATCACATTGCTTTGCCCTAATTTTGCCCAGAATTTTATCTCCAGCTCCTGTTGGAAAAGTGTGCTATCTTTAATAGTGGTCAATCACTTTTAAAAACCATTCTAATCTGGCTTTTTCAAACATTGAACGTGACCAATAAGCAGATTGGAAGAGACTGAGTTGTTGAAACATTCCGTTGAGAATTTTCTGGAGGGACAAAATGAGAGAATGAGACAGTAGAGTTTAGATTAAGCTACCAAGTAGAGAGTCTCTCTCATACATACATACAGGCAATTGTATGTATGCATCATAGTGTGTGTGTGTGTGTGTGTGTGTATACACACACATTCTTTTAGAGAAAATTCATGAAAAGAAGCAACTACAGTGATCAGATGTGTTGCAAGAGTGTATAGAGAGTTAAAATACAGTTACTACCTGAGCAGTTTAGTGGGTTTACTTTACCAGATTGTATTAAGAAATATTAAAGAAGTTACTGGTATGTCTTTAGGACTACTCACAACTATTAAACTTAAATCTATCTACTTCCGGAATAAATCAAAACAATCAAAAAAAAAAAAAAGATTTTTAAGCTGATATGATCTAACCTCCAAAGTGAAAGAAACACAAATTACTTTTGAATAGGAAGATACAGAAAAGAAAAATTATCAACTTTTGCTTGTCAGCAAATGGAGAAAGACAAGAATATTTTAGTGAGCTTGATATTGTTTTTACTTACAGTTTTTGTCTCAGCTATACACCTCACAAAACCACGAAGTCTTTGTGATATTTTATAAATGCTTGACAAAATTTACATCAGTGAAGGCACTTAGATGAAAATTACATTTTACTTATTTTTCCAAAATTGTGTTTTACTTATTTCACTCTATCTCCAAAATAATTCCTTAAAGTAGAAAAAGAACAGAAAAGGATGCTAAAAAACAAACAAAAAACTGTATGCCCCTAGTTTCAAGACAGAACGTAGGTTATAAGAGGCACTAGCTACATTATTCTTTTAACTTTGAATTGTTCATTTTACAAAAGGGGTAAGTTACATTTGTGGTCATCTTTAGTTATATATTATTTTAGTGAGTACTATCTGTATGAAGATTATTCTAAAACAGAAAGTCCCCAAATGCAAAAGAAAAAAAGAGTGGGGGTGAAATTGAGCTTGTATATATGAAAGTTATCTTATAAATGTTTTTAAACCTCCAGTTTCTGCAAAATAATTAAAATATACAGTAACTGGTCTCCGAAAATCCTGAATTTAATGTATTAAATACTTATAAAATTTCTTTATATTGGTGCCTTTTTAAAATGGATTGAGAGAGTGTTGGTTAGTTGTTGGAGCCCCACAACGCTTTTATTATGTATTTTTCAAAATCATTTAAAATTGAGTACTATATAATTCATCTTTATGTACTTAGGGCAAAACAGTTAGAGGAATTTTCAATCCAGAGACTTTCAGCTCATCTGTTTAAAGTAAAAGGAAACTTTGAAACCAGGTTTTAATATCTTTTTAGTCTGCTAGTATTTCTGAATACCATGACAAGATTATGCAGGTAAAACATGAGGTAGAGGGGAATTTTCACTGTGAATTGCATTATGGTATGTGTTTCTGTTTTGTTTTTAAGGAAGAATAAGTTCTAATATCATACGAGTCTCTATTAGTGAAATTTGGGGTCAATAAAATGCAGTATTGTTTTGGGATTTCATCTGCAGACTAGTTTTGCACTAGTCTTAGAACCTCTGTGTTCTCATCTGTTAACATTTTATGGAATAATGTAAAGAAGCAGGTGATTCATTCTTCTTGAACAAAACAAAACTGAGCAGTCACAGCACGTTGCTGTTCTCCAAAGCAGTCTCAAATGGTTTCCTACCATGGTTGTGTGCTACTTGCAGTGAATATGTTAGGATATGACAGCTTTTAAAAAAAATAAGCTGCTTGTTATACGAAGCAAATGTCATATGACCAAGAAGCTGTGATATGCTAGTGTTTCTTTTTATCATAGTATCTTGCTAGGCCAAATAATGACACCTTGAATATTTTTACATTTATTGCAGAAACCTAAAATTTTGGACTTTCCCTAAGGTTTTTATGTAACATTCTATTTCTAGCTCTTTAGTTTTCTCTTGCTGTACTGTAAGTTGGTGAATATTTTTCACACACACTCTTACAAATAAGTTCCTAATTTTGTTTATGGGGTTTTTCTCCCCTAATATTGCATTTATATATTTTCTGTATAAATTTGTTGTGAATTAACCTTTATCCCATACAGAGAGTGGTACCTGAATGACTAGTTTTCTAAGATGTCCTTTTTATTGTGAATAAAATATAAAATCTCCAGGCCCTCAGCTAAACCACATAAAGTACAGCATGTAACTTCACATAGGTACAGATAGGCCAGTTTGTAGCTCATCAGGCCCTTCGAATTACCTCAAGTGACACAGTAAGAAACGCTTCTTGAACGGGTGGAGGTCACTGAATCCCCTACTATGCACTTATCAGGATTCTGCTTAATTTAATTTACTGGAAATGGGTTTTTAAAAAATGAATACACTGTAACAAAGGAAAGACTCTGGGTTTTGTTTTCTGTTGTTTTATTCTTTTGTGTTTGTTTTTTAAGGGTAGTTCAATTTCTGAAACTGTGATAAAACGTTTTGACTGTCAAGCATTCTCAGATTTTGAACATAAATCACTTCCCCTTCTGTGTCAGGAAGTTCTTTGTTATCTCAAATTTTGTCTACTCTCCCCGCTCCTGTCTCCTCTCTGTCCATGTCCCTTCCATCATGGTCTCTGGACATCTCTGCTTTTCTTTCCCTTTGCTAGTTTGAAGATTAGGTCAACTCTTATTTCCAATTCACTGGTCAACTAAGTCTTAATTTTTTGTGTGTGCTTTTTGTTGGCTGTATAATCTGCTGACATATTTTTAGGTGGGAGTGTAGTTTTATATTAAAAAGAAAAGTAGTTGGATTAAAAATAGTAAGGTATATAACCCTTGTGTTACTTTCACTTTCAAATGTTGAGTACCTAAAATATGACTTCAGAGGTTATGTAATCATAACATGGTATGTTTGCCTTCCTTTTTTGTTAGATTTTGTGTTCTGATTTGGTTTTCCTCCTAAAATGTATATTATGAGAGATTAAACAGTCTTTGGCAGGATTTTAGAGAGAAGTTAAAATTTAAAGCAAAGAGTCTTAACTGTCTCCCTGTTGGGAGAAAATGCTTTAACGTTACCACGATAATATTCCAGGTGGAGGGGCTCTCCGGGCTCCATATTTGCTCTTAATTGTCGGACCTTTTAGACCATGTGTTATTTGCAATCCCCGAATGATTGCTTCTGCTGTTTAGCTTAAAAGTATTTTTCTTTCTTTCTATACAAGTGCAATACTTTCCTTGAAGTCTTAAAAACGATGGTTGTCTTTTTTTTCTTTTCTGACTTATTCTTTCTTTAGTTAATGACAAAAAGAAACCCTTGAACATCATGGTATGTTGGTTAACGGACTCAAAAAGCAAAGAGAAAAACACTCACAGTGAAAAGATTAGAAAATGTAGAAACCACTGGTCTAATCTCCTGGTATCTTTATTTAGGCTAAATTTCTATTGAAATTAGTCAGCTTTTGCCTGAGAAATGTGTCCTAAAGTTGAAATTCTTAAAGTCTGAATTTTCTGCTTAGATCCTTGCCCAGTGTTTTAAATTAAGAACCTAATATTTTTTTATTTCACTTTTCTCTTTTGCAAATGAACTTTAAAAACGAAGCACTTAGGTCAATTTTAAACACCTATCTTTCACCTATTGGAGACAATTTTTAAGAAATATTTGGAGCACTCCTCTTTTCATACAAATTTAAGTAAGAAGTATTTTTTGTATCATCCATATTTATATGTAGTATGCTGGTTTTCTTTTTTTATATCTATGTCCCTGTAGTAAAACTGCTGTAATGTAAATACATATTTTGTTAAAAGATAACATTTCCTTGGCATTTCTTTTAAAGGCAGTTACTGCATTTGTACAGTATGTGTCTTGGCCATTTTAGATTTTTTTTCTTTAACAATACCAAAGGTAATTAGACTACTTTAAAAACTAATTGCTTGACAGTTCCTAGGATATTTTGAGTTTTAGAAGCAAAAAAAAGAAAAAAATAGGTCAAACCAGTAAACCTCATTTTTTTTTCAAAACTAATAATTTGGGGAAATAAAAACTATTGTTTAAAAAAAGAAATATATATATAAATATATATGTAAAATTAAAATTCCAGACCTTGTATGTCAGGTTTGCTCAGTGTAATGTAGTTTTTTTAAGGCTCAAATACTATACCTCAGAAAATGAGGTTTACTATGGAAATACTGCAACAGTCTTTGCAGCTGTGTGAGAAGCCACTCTGCTCTATACCAGTTTGGAGCCCTCCGCTGAACACTTTGATCACTGCGGACTAAAATGTGGGACTTGTATTTTCTTTGTTTTTAATGCACACGCATACATGTTCTGTGCATGTATGTGGGTACTGTGTATATGTGTATGAGTGTTGTATATGCATGTGTGAGTGTGTGTCTGTATGTGTGTACAACTAAAGAAGCTGCAGAAACTTTGTAATACTTTGTGAAAAGGATTATATTATAAAGGTTTGTACTGTCTGAGTGCACAGCTACTGGAATAAATTTAGGGAATCTCAGGAACAAGCATATAATTTGTCCAAGATTTATTTCTTCTCAGAAGTGTAAGTGCAGTTTTTAATTCTGTATATTATTTAATATTTTACCAATAAAATAAACTTCTGACATAAAAAGTTTGCTATAAAAACTTTCTGGTGAAAATTCTGTACACAAACACATCTTCCAAATACAGAAGAATAAACCCTGGGATAGATTCAGGTGTATTTCAGTTGTCATTGCTGCTGCGTACACATGTCACACGTCCTGACACGTGAGAGCAGCCGTCCCACGAGTAAGTGCCATGTAGTCCAGAGCACAGGGCAGAGAAGTCCCTTTTTTGTTAAGGGTGACATCTCTTTGCTCTTCAGGCAGTTTTCCTATCTCTCTTATTTTACCTTTATAACTAATTTGAGAGGTATGTATGCCAGCACCTATCCCCTATTAATAGAAGAAAAAAGTGAGACCCAAGGGAAGAGAGTTGTGACTTGCTCCAAAGTGCACAGTGAATTTCATAAGCAGTCCAAGTAATGGTCAATAACCATATTAGAAGCTAGCATTTCTTAGGAGTCAGACCAAGATTAAATAAAGGATTAATTCACAGAGATTGTTCAATCACATTGGCAATCTCACTATATGAGAGAGAAACTTCTCAGATTTTACAAATACAGTTTGTTTTACCATGAGAAGTTCTGTTACAATTCTCTTCATAACCAGAAATGTAAAAGGGCACATGCGATTGCAGACTCATTTTATTTAGCTTTAGCTATGTATTATCCCCCATGCCAATTTAAAGTCTACCGTCACATTTGAGATAGCCATTAGAATTTATCTTCATGGGTAAGTATTTACAGAATTCCATGGATATTTATCAGATTCCCCACTAACTTCACTGCCATATGCCACACAGATGAAAAATACTACAAATTCAAATGAAATTTTTTTCTTCCTTGACTTTTAATTCAAATTACTAACTTAACTGATGGGGGGGAGTGCAAACAAAGGGAGTAACAAGGCAAAGAAGAAAAAAAGAGAATGAACTTAACAGATGACTAGTATTAAGTTTGTGAAAGATCCCTCCAGTAGCAGCGAGAAATGCTTATCAGATCTCCTGCTTTATCGTACTGACAAGAGCAAAATGGAAAAGATTTTTTTAAAACATGCCATATGTTCTTGATTTTTCTATTGCATTAGGGTCAGAGAAACAAATAATTGAAATCTTGATCTGATTGTAAGACTTTTTATCACTATACTCAAGTCAAAGGGCTGTCCTTGGGGTGCGAGCCACCTTGTGAAGGAAGTTCATTTAGCATTTTAGCAACTCTGTTTCTTACTATTAGGGTGTTTTAAGATGGACCTGTTAAACTTCCAGCAAAACCTCATGTTCTGTTAATAGCCCCACTAACAGTTCCCAGTGTAATCTTTTAACATCTCACTAGAAATACCAATTAAAGATAACTGGTGAAATTGAATTTTGCTGCTTTTCTCTGATTTGAAGCGAAACTGGAGGGAGGTACTTCTGTAAACTAGCTTCATGGGCAGATGGAAGGAATTGACAAAGAGATAAAGTGTCCATAATCCCATATGAAAATGGGTTGAAGCGGAGAGACGTCCTGGAAAACAAAAGTATGCGCAGTCTGAGAAGAA